GTGAATCGCAGATTTTGGTTTACCTCCCTGCTATCTGTTTTGTACACTGCTAAGATAGGGTCTCAATGGATGATGGCTCTTATGGCTAACGGTTAAAAGTTTGGCCATTTTACAGCTAACGAATAATTTCTTTCCGTTGCGATTAAAAGGAAACTTTTTTCGGTTAACTTTTTTCACGACTAACCGTTTAAATTTGTCAATTTGTTGCGTCTAACGTCTAGATTTTTTTGCCATTTTAATTTACCGCTCATGATAAACCCCTAAGACTCTCTTAAGAAACTAGACAAAGGTTTTAGCTCAAGTTGTACTTCTAACAAATCAGTAAAGGCTGAAAGTTTCTAAAGAAACTGTGGTGCTGCGTCGGTGGGGGTAACAAGGTAATTTGGTTATATCAACTACGTTGAAACTGTAAATTGGCTACCGTAACGAATAAAAAAGCTGACGGTTCGAGCGTTAGCCCTTCGTCAGAGCGAATGGACGAATTGTGGGTTGTATGTGGGTTTATATGCAGAAAGCGTAGCTACGCCATGTACTTCTAACAAACGACTGACTAAGCAGCGTGCCGTGGATTGGTACGAAATTCCTCCCATCAAGCAGCTGTGGTTTGTATTCCTGGTCAACTGTGCGTAACCTTAGGTTCGTTTAGCGCAAACCTCTCCTAAGTGTGGTTTGCTCAGCTTTTCCCTTTATTAGCAAGTAATCAATAACATTGAAATTGAAACGGGAAAAAAAAAAAAACAGTTAAAAAGGCACATGATAATCTACATTTGTTATCAGCCGATCGGTTTACCTCCTACCAGTTGAGATATTTTAATTATGTTATGTCTGATTTAAATTTTCTCCTCTCGAACAATTTGATTGAATCCTGAAAGCTTTCAACATAGCCACGGAAAGTGTGAAAAATACGTTGGTGTTTCTTACAATGATGTCACAACAAACGAAATAACAAACGGTTGCACTAGTTACACAACATACAACCTAAAGAAATAACGAACAACAAGGCTATAAAATACTCACATTGTTACGGCCACAGAAACGTTACTCAACTGCACCATAGTTAGTAGACTATGACTGCACTTAGCGAAAAACAAAAGGAAACGGTTATATTACATGATAAATTATGCAGGCAGCACAGAGCGACAGAAGAGGGCAACGAAATGACAAGAAAGGCGCGAATGAAACAATAAGTATAATTACAGAGTGAAAAGACTTATAAATGTACTCCAAACACGCAAAGAGAAAAAGAGAAGAAAAGAAAACCACGTCAGAATTAAATGTCGCACTTAGAACTTACAAAGGGAACCAAGACGGAAAAATAAGGATGCTGGCCGGGGTGTGTCGATTTCGCGAAAGCTATCTTTAGCTTTGAGCGGAAATGAAAGCCGTCTGTTACTTTAAACATCCGCTTTGTGGTTTCTTAGTGTAGTTTCTAATTTCCGAATATATTTCAATCGAAAAAGAAATCTCCCTGCTGTTCGCTTATATATATTGATCTAATTCAAAAGTAACCAAGGCCAACTGAAAGAGGACGGAAGTTTTCATTAACGTAGGTGAAAGGCGTTATGAAAAACGGAAAGCAACACATAACGAAAACCGTGTGAACAAGAGAAGCGTGATTCTCGTCCCATTATTTTCTCTTAATATGAACTTCATATATTCATTGTATCTCATTTATCACTTTCACGGGTTTATTAGGAATCAACTTAACGGCCTGCTCCCAGTTGGCTTGTTAGCTCAATTGGTAGAGCGCTGCACTAGTATCGCAGAGGTCAGTGGTTCGAGTCCCGTACAGGCCTGATTTTTTTCAGGTCTGATTTTCGCTATTGCATAAATAGCGCTATCTACTGCGAGGATCGTGCATCATACGTATCTAATACCGCAGTTCAAAATATATGAACTTCATATATTCATTGTATCTCATTTATCACTTTCACGGGTTTATTACGAATCAACTTAACGGCCTGCTCCCAGTTGGCTTGTTAGCTCAATTGGTAGAGCGCTGCACTAGCATCGCAGAGGTCAGTGGTTCGAATCCCGTACAGGCCTGATTTTTTTCAGGTCTGATTTTCGCTATTGCTTAAATAGCGCTATCTACTGCGAGGATCGTGCATCATATGTATCTAATACCGCAGTACAAAATATATGAACTTCATATATTTCATTGTATCTCATTTATCACTTTCACGGGTTTATTACGAATCAACTTAACGGCCTGCTCCCAGTTGGCTTGTTAGCTCAATTGGTAGAGCGCTGCACTAGTATCGCAGAGGTCAGTGGTTCGA